TACACTCCTTACTTAGTTTTTTTCCTATTGTGTTTGTTAAATCCTTAAGTCAACGTGACATGGTTCGCACATGTAAACTGAAGTACATGCCTAGGTAACTGCAGGATGATGGCTTTGCTAATTCCACTATCTATTTCTGTCTCTTTCTAAACCTCACCTTTCCTTTATGCTTGGTACTATTCATTCAGTAACAAAACATTTAATATAATTCAAAAACACAGTTAAAAATACATTAATTTACAGAATAATTCACACAAAGAGTACATATTTTAGGGTGCAGGACTTCAGGATAGCTTCAGAAAATTTATCTTTGGAACATGATTATTTATAGTCTAGTGTGCTTAATGTAAATTTCCTGGCATTGTAAAGAAAGGGTACAAAACCCTTAAACCTTTTATACAAATTCAATGACTAGTAGAGTAAGTGCAGTGACATTTTTGATCACAAAGCATCCTCCGCAAGTACAATAACATTGAACAATCTGTATTAGGATACTGAACACATTGATAGTTGAATACATAAAAAAACCCAATAAATTAGAAATCTGCTGTTAGTTGCTGTAACTTGAGAATGAAATGGAATTTAGAAGTCAAAAGATACTTAAAATTCACCATCAGCACATTCTACATGAAGCTACAAATGGGACAATATCACAGAAAAAATTGTATCCTAACAGTGCCCAGGCTGCGCAGTCTATGTACCAAAGTAGCATATTGTGTAATCTGTAAATACCTTATTTATTCAGTGGTTTACTCTCTTGTTAAAAATAAGAGTGCTAAGCTTCAAAGTATTGCCTTCAGCTTGCAGTCACAGTAGCCTTAAACAGATAACTAGCAAAAAATCATGCAGCAAAAGATAAATCATCTACAGAAGAGACAGAAATGTTGGAAAATAACAAAGAAACTGAACTCATTCAGTGAAATGCGGAGTTAATTCCAGAATTAATCCTGGAATTTTCAGTCAGGATATTCTAATACCAAGTTCTATTAATAAGTACAAAAACTGAATAGAGAGCATCATCTGCATCTACAGCAAGGGAAGAAAAAAATTACGCAGTCCTCAAACACACTAAATGGCAATGATACGATAATGTTTCAAAATGTTAAATCATAACTCAGAAACACATGAAAAAGAAAAAGAATTTTGAAACTTTTTTTTCTGTAAACATACAGGTTTATGTAAGCATACACTTACACAGAGACAGATACAGACAGACAGGCAGAGGATTTTCTTCTGGCTCATTTTTAATCTATCAGTCATAATGTCTCTGTGTCTCTATAGAACTGATCGGACTCTTTCTAACCTTCTCACCCTTCTTGTTACTTTACCATTGCTCCACTATTTCCTATATGAAACTTGATTAAACTGACATTAAGGACACGGAAAGTGTAAATTTTTCTGTTTGCTCTTAATTTTTGACACAATGCATTACTGCTTCTTACTTAAGGAACTGCTCCTGTATTCCTTCTCCAAAAATTTCTCTCATTTGGGGTAGCAGTCTTTCATTGTCATGAGTTTTGGTCAAACAGAAATTACAAGATCAGGTATTCTCTTAGTTAAAGGAAGGTGAAGATGCCTAGAAGCGCCAACATGCCTCCCCCAACCCACTGAATTGCACGCTTGCCTCATCTTGTCAAAACACAAAAGCTGTGGCACTGGCATGGTTTTCCCCTGGGCCACTTTGACACCAGCAGCACAAAACATTATGCATTTATGAACACATAGGGTTCGGAGGATGAATACAGGGCAGAGAAAACTAACGAGGCCCACAGGCAACATGGGTCAAAATGCATTTCTACACAGGGACTGTAAATCAGACTCTGCCAAACAGTACCACCAAATAGTGACTTTTTTTTTTTTCTTTCATCTTGGCCATAGTTTGGAAGGCAAGAGAAAGGTAGTAAGAGCCTAGAACATCCACATTAAGTGCTCAGTTGAATGTCCCATCCCTGGAAGTGTTCAAGGCCAGGTCAGATGTGGCTTTGAGCAACCTGGTCTAGTGGAAGGTATCCCTGTCCATGGAAGCGGGGTTGGAACTAGATGAGCTTTAAGGTCATAGATGAGCTTTAAGGTCATAGATGAGCTTTAAGGTCCCTTCCAACCCATTCTATGCTTCTATGAATGAGCCTCTATGTAAAAGCAAACCAAGCGCTAAATATTCATAGCATGTCTAAATTCTAAGAAATCCCTAGACCACTGCAGAGCTCTGACTCTGCAGACTTTGGCCATAAAAATGCACTTAGCTGCATTTTACATGATTGTTGCACAATTCACAGCCCAGTTTAGCACTAAAAGACAGATTCAAAAATCTTCAGACTTAATGAGTATTAGAAGCATAAATATGCTGCTGATTCAGGCAGTTTCTTAAAAATGTTTACTCATGTTGCGGTTGCCTGAAGAGATTACATGCTGTAGAAAAATATCTCTTAAACATGGGGTGTCTTTATTGTCTCGAATTTTGAGTAGATCTTTGTTAAATAGTGAAAGCCAAAACACATCAGCCTTCAAAAACGAATTCTAATGAATGTCATACGTACACCTAAAGCATCCCTTTCATAAAAGTGAAAGTCTATCAGAAGCAAGAGGAAAATAGACTGAATTATAAAAATAAATCCATTTCCTCTCATAATGTGTCCTCTGAAGCTCTCAGAAAAACATACTCCGTTGATATGCTCCTTTAGCATCACTGTCAGAAAAAAATGCTCTCTACATGATGCCATATTGTATCCAGACTAAACAGTTAAAGGACATCATTTGCCACAGTGAATTAACACATCTGGCAAAACAATAATCCAATGGGGAATCACAGATACGTGTTCTCACATTAAGTGATCAAATTAAGGACTAGGGACAGCCTTTGAAATGGAAGCAATTTTGGGATTATTGGTTAACAATCTCAAGCAATATTGACTCCAGGGAAAGTGACTTCCTAATGAAACCAAGAGCTCACATACAGAGAGCTTACAGGGTCAAATCTGTAATTACTTTTTGTCCTTAGAATGTTTTTTCCCAGATTAGAAACATCTTTTTAGGAAATGTTAATAAAATTATTTGCATATATTTGTTTTTATTTATTTTCCATAAACATTAGATTTTTGTATTGATGTTAGATGCTTAGATGATCCAGGTTCCTGGAGTCCAATCCCAGTGAATGCAACTGCTCTTTTATGAAGGCCATAGGATGCTTAGACTATAATGTCAATTTCTATGTAGTTCTCTGCCCATTTTTAAAACTATAGTTTTTGAAGCTTTATGTTTTAATGACTTTTACCTTACCACCCTTTCATGACATGCTTCTTTGCTATTTTTTTTTTTTTCACATATCAGGGTTAGAGGGATAAACATTCAGCTGAAATACATTATAACTATCATGATCATACTCTCTAATGAAATAATCTGCTTTTTCAATATGGTGCTATCCTTACCTTGGACTGGTTTTTATTAGTATCATGCAAGTACCATACGCAGCTCTATGCCAGCTCTAGCAGATGTGTGGAGACCTCAAAATGAGTGACATGTAGTCCCATGGCCGATACTGTCATTACTGCAAGTGCGGTGCATGGAAACACTGCCTCGTTTTGCTCCCACAGTACATTCTTTCAGGATAGAATAGAATGGACAGAAACAAAAGAGAAAGACTGCAACAGGAAGAAAGCCAAAACTAAAGACATCACTTACACCAGACATGGAAATCAAAAAGTTTCCTCTACTATTCTGCACTTTCACGCATTTCTTTACATTCAGTGTGATCTGAGGCATGGACTTCCCTGCCACAGGCCCAGGTAATGACAACCTTAAGTTTACTGGATTATTTTGCTGGAATGGATATCCTTTGCAACAGATCTGCGTCATCTATGTCTGGCACCTTTATCCATAAGTACCACTGTTTTTTCCTGCCTTGCTTTCCATCACTGAAAGTCGATATTCCCCACTGAAGCATGATGACATACACGTAAACCACAAGGTCCTTAATAACAATCTACAATTACTGTGCTTTCATCAAATGCTCAGAAGCCCTCACAACTGGCATACTCCAGCCTCAGACTGAACAAAAGGTTTCTCTGTTGTACAAATTCAATACTGTCAACAATTCCACAGGAAGGAGGAAAACAAAAAAGTTGGGAGGGGGCCAAACTCAAACTTACCCAAAGACCAGTCCCAGTCTTAGTCCTGGACAGCAGTCCCCAGAGGAAATCATGAAACCAGGCCTTTCTAAAGCCTCTAATACTACCATTTTATACTACAGACATCATGACAGAAAAGCTAAGTGATATGAAAAAATGTCACAGACTCAACTATCTCATAACTGCTGTTACTTCAGTGTTGGTACCAAATAGATAGGTCAGATGTCAAGATTAAGTTTCCACAAGAAACTGGATGAGACATGTTGCTTAACTTCAGAAGAAACAGGCTATGTGTACACACACACACACACCCAAAAAGGGCCCATAAGACTAAATACACGTGGAAAAAGGAGGACAAAGGAATCAATCATAGAATCACAGAATACGAGGATGGGAGGGGACCCCAAGGATCATTTGGTCTAACATTTCTTGGCAAAAAAAAGTCTTAATTTCAGGTTTTTTCGTGAATTTGAAAAAGTAATAAAATAAATCACTGCACTGAAAATAGTTTTATTCACAACTCTGGTTCAATTGTTATTTTTCTTAACCTTTGAAGAGTAGCTCCAGGAAATTATACTAGGCTAGAGATAAATCAGCTATAAACAAACACAGCGAAAATGTTCAACACAAACCCAAATAAGGAGCTGATGCAATGTCCTCTGTGTGGCCTCATTTTTTTAAGTAGATATATATTTTTTATATTACAACAATTTCAAATGGAGAGTTTAACATGTTTCTGCAATAATCACAATCATATCCAACAGCATAAGAATATGCAGTAGAACATAAACTTATTTGAATAAGATTATAATTATTTCATAATATTAATCCATAGCATCATTCAGATAATATTTTCTGGCAATAATCAGAACTTACCATATTGATTGGGTCAACTGGGCCAATGCTGTTAACATAGACATCTGTTTCAATCACTGTAGTTCTCACTAAACAAAACAATCAGCATAATAATTACATATTTCATTAACTATGTATATTGTTTGTATCATTTAACCTATTAAAACAGCAACAAATCTGATATTCTTTTATTAGATTCAGAATAATTAAATCCCTAGTTTATTCATTCTGTGAAGGATCATATATGACTCTTCCATACAAATCATCAGAATTATCAATGTGAATTTTTACTTCATAATGCAATCACCACCTGTGCTTTTTGAACAGACATAAAAGGCATAAAAGGCAAAAGAATTAAAATAAAAAACAAAAAACCGACCAACCAAGAAAAAAAACAAAAAACAAACAAACAAAAAAAAAACCACAAACCAAAACCAAAATCTGTCTTCCAACATAAAAATCTAATCAGAAACAGAAAAAAGTGTCGAAAAACTGCTCATACAAAAAATCATAAGGTCTGGGAGCAGATAAGTTTATCAGCTGTAAGGAATCAATGTGCAGTGCTTTCTGTTGATTCCTACCGAAAATATGTAACAAAATAATAATAATAATAATAATAATAAAAACCCAAACAAAAAAACCCCAACACTTTCCATCACAGATTTCTTCAATTCATGCAACTACAGCACACCTAAGAATTACTAATGTCCTTTACTTGGCTTAATACACTGCTTCAAACACTAAACTAAAGCTTCTGAAGTGAAAGTCATTTAGAAGTTAAACATTTCAAAATGTATTTTTCTTTAAAACCATTCTCACTGGGCAGACAAAAACTAACTGTTTAAAAAAATGTATTCTCTTGAAGAATATACTTTCTTACTTTGTGCACTTATGGGAGGGTATAAAGTCTAAGTGACTTCCCATGAAAGTCACATCTGAAGTACAGGTTGCACAGGTAATTCATTTTTTTCCTTCAAACTGGTTTACAGGGGGGAAAAGGTAAAAGGAGAAGAGATCAGGATGCATTTTAACTTCATCAATTCACCAAGCATTTTCTTTCAAGTACCAGCTTGTACTGGAGAACCAAAATGAAGACACAAAAGCATATATGTCCTCAATGTCCTAGTCCCAGAGGAATTAAGAGAGTTAATAAGAAAGCTCTCCTGTTTTTTATTTCATGATGTGGCATGTTAAAATGAAGCATCTCTGTCCACCTGCAGGTGGAAAAGGTGTAAGGTGCAAACAAAAAGGTTCTTTGATTTCCTAAGAAAGGGGTCATATGTCTTCAGATTTGATTTCTTTATACTGCAAACCATCAAAGATCACACAAGTGCTCTATAACAAACCTAAAACCTTAAGAGGATTTTTCAAATCTCAGAAATCTAAAAATCAAACAGACACACAGAAAGAAATAGGGTATCATTAATATCCTTGTCGGTTACAATGACAGGCAAGATACATTTCCTAAATAGCCAAAGATTCCTTTGTCCCGCCAGTGTCACCCGGGAGGAAATTCTCCCCAATCCCAAATCCAGCCACTGAGCATGACAGCAAGACACCCCACTGAGGCTGCACAAAAGATTTTTTACATGACCATAGAACACAGTGACTTGGTCACCATCCTGTTCCCAGAGTGTTTCACATGAAGTTTAAACAGACTCTAGAAATCAATTTATTTCTGGGGCGGGTGGAAATAAGTACTTCCTGAATAGGAAGGGGGACAGCACAAGAACTCATATCCACAGACTGAAAAATCAGAATAAAAAGTAGTACGTAATGCATGTGCGTTTATACACATGTGTATAATGTTACATAATTTACATACATCACATCTGGCAGATAACCTCTTCCTTTAATTCTGCAACCTAGCCATATCTCAAACCTCTTCTTCAGATGCAAGTACCTACACACAGTGATTAAGGTCACCTCTGAAACTTGCTCTCACTGTCATTGCTTTACTATGCAGAATCTCCTACCTTGAAATATGACCCACAGGCTGCTTCTCCCCCACCTTCCCCTCGCCCCCAATGTTTTTATTTCCAGTTTTACTGAAGGAGCTGATTAGTCTGCAGATACAACCTCTTCCTTTCCAACACTCTT